CTGTGAAGGGTTCAGACTCTCTGTGCCTTGGGAGCTTGATGTTCCCACCTTCTCAGCCATTTTAGGGGAACCTGAAAGTGAAAGTAGCCACCATCACTCTCCTAACAGAACCCCAAAATGGAGCCCTACCTCACCCATATCAGCCAAACCCAGTGGGGAAGAAGTAGGCTGTTTATTGTTGCTCCCTTTCCTGAAGGCCCAGCAATAAGGACTGTTAAATGTCCCTGCTAGAGACCTGACCCTTGGACCAGAAGCAATTCGTCCTTTTAAAGAACCTCCCATCCAGATACAGAGGAAAGCAGTAAAGGGAGGGGAAAAGAAAAAAGGAGGAGGGGGGTAGTCCTCTTTCTCTCTCCCCCTCCACACCTTGCCAGTTCTTAATGGATACAGTCCTACCGTGGTTCAGTCGACTGGGTAGACTGAGCAGGAGCCGCGTCCCTCCTTGCCACAATCTGAAACAAGGAGGGGGCTCTGTTCCAACGCCGAAAGGGACGGCGACGGAGTTTCCGCGCCACCCTCAGCCGCCTCTCTTGCCTCCACTTTCCCCAGGCTCTTCACTGAGCGTCTGTCCCCAAAACCGCTGCACGCCGCCGCGGCTAGATGGAGGGGGGAGCGGTTTACTGTCGCCTTCCCAGCAGGGTCCGAGGCGTTACTCTCGACACCGCAACCGCCTGGGGGTCTCCCAGGGCTGCCAGCGCCGGATCCATTGTAATTCAAGGCCCGCAGCTCTCGAATATGTTTTAGGGCTGGAAGGTAAGTACATTCTCCCATTGCCCTCTTTTAGGTCGCCGCTTCTTCTTCTAACCATCCTGTGTCTTCTGGGATCTTTGTGCTTTTCAGAGCACAGCCAGCACATCCTGCTCAGAAGGCAGGGCCAGTAAGACTGGGGATCAGAGAATAAGCCCCTCCCCTCCACGATCAAAGTTTTCCGGCCCTGCCTACGGAAGGGGGAGGTGCTTTCCCAGGAGTAAGGAGTCAAGGACTGTCCCACTCCTGGACCACCAGAGAATTATCTTTATTATTCCTAGCCAAAGCATGAATCAGTATATTTAGTCCTGGGTTTAAAGTGTTGATATTGACTGGGAAAAGCTACATAAGAGTACAAAGCACATTCTCTACTGATGGCACTAATGTTAATTATCTATGATCTCTTAAATCTGGCAGTGTATTTAAGTTAATTTCCCCAATAATTACTTGATTTCACTTCTTACATACAAGCTGCCAGCTTAACTAAAAACTGTGTTAAGATAATATAAAAAATCATTAAGACAATAATATAATAAATAACCTATTAATAATTCCATCTATGTTATAACACGGACCAACACTGCCATCCCCAGGATTAGTTATAAAAATTACCGCTATAAAGTTTAAGCACTTCGAAAAATGATCTAAAGTATGCCCGTCATTTACTATCCATTCAAATCAGTAGTGGGAGATTTGAATGAAAACCTATTAATTCAATCGCCTCCTCACATCTATACCCCCTTTTTAAAAAAGTTCTACTATGCAGTTTAAATGCTGCAACTTTGATAGAACTTAATAAAATAGTAATATATCTGCTACTACTATATGCAACCCGGTTTCTTCATACCGTGACAGAAACTAAGTAGAGTACAAAGGTATAAATACTTACAGCATCAATTTGTTCTAATGAAATTTTCCCGGTATTCTTTTTAATGTTGTAATCTGGACCAACATATGCATAACTGTAGAGTGGGGGAAGAAGAAAGTTATTTATAGTACAAATAGTTTTCACAGAGTCAGAAAAGTAATCTTGCTGTTATCCATGCAAAACCATGCAAAACTAAAGTTAATATTAGAAATGGATATTTAATAGAAATAATATTCAACATTACAATTCAGCAAATATAAATGAACAACCTGAAACACACACTCTTTTTAAAAAGCCAACAGTGATACCTTGATATTTCCAAGTAAGTGTGCTCAGAATTAAACACTAACATCTACATTAATTTTCAAAACAAGAACAAAATATTTGAAATCTAATATTTACCACGTAATTGCCTTAAAGAAGTATTTCTAAACTTTGGGTACAAAACTTCAAGGCTGGGGTTTTTTTTATGGTATTACAGAAGCTATCAGAAAAAAAATTATTTTGAATTTATTACACAATGATGACATTCACACCAAAGTATTACAGAGCATTCTGAGGAGACAACCCAAGAGAATATTCCATAAAACAGTCGCTGTGGCTTTAGATTCTGAGCAAAGGAAAATATTCTACATGAATTTTAAAAAAGCAATGCCCTGTTTGTCCCATGAGTGACAAAACATAATTTTCTAAATATGTCAATCGTTACATGAGCAGAAATTGTGATGTGTTGATAGTATTGGAGAAAACTTCCCATGACAATCTCATTTTACAAAAATATTCCCACTGTTCCAAAATATTCAGGCTGATGCACAAATACCACAATAACTTTAAAGTTAAGTGCCACATGACGGAGTGAGCTCCCATCTCTGGTCCCAGCTCCTGCCAACAAAGCAGTTCGAAAGCAAGAAATTGCAAGTAGATACTGCTTTGGTGGGAAGGTAACAGCATTCCGTGCACCTCGGCATCTAGTCATGCCAACCACACAAACATCTTCGGACAGCGCTGGTCCTTCGACTTGGAAACGGAAATGAGCACCGCACCCTAGAGTCGGATTTGACTGGCTTTCGAACAAGGGCAACCTTTACCTTTATCTTACAAGACTGGGATCCAAAATATAAATTATTATATTGTACAGATTGAAAGAACTGAATCTCTTTTCTTCTCAAAAACTGAGCATTCAGTGCAACAAACAGTAAAATATTAACTTTAGGCATGTGCAAGGAAATTTTTTATATTTTTCTGTGGAAAAAATGGGTGGACTCCCATGACATATCAAAAGAGGGGGTTGCAACTAATGGATCAATTGTGATGCCAGGACAGTAGATACCCAGGTTTCTGCTGGGTTATACTAGGCTATCCAGAAGTAGGGGTGAGGGATTTAAGAATACTAGCAGCTTCTACTCAACAGTGCATCATTGAAAATGCATTTGTTGCATGTTTCATCTAGGAGAGAGAAATACTGCAGGAAAAAATGGATTATTTATGTTACCTGAGGTGACCGAGTAGAGGTTGGAGTCTCTCATCAGCTTGTACAGCAGGCAAAGTTCGTGCTGTTAGCTAAAGGGGGGAAATACAACTTGCTCAGATTTAATGAATTTTTTTCCAATATTTTGATCTCTTGGTACACAGTTGCATAAGGTTGAATCCAAAGACTGCTGCTAAATGAGTCTTCAATCAAAGGAAGACTCTTTCTCATTTCTAGATCTCTCCTTAACATCTTCATATCACTATTATTGCACCCACCATAGTATATACACACATACATATAGATATATACACACACATACACATTTGTGTGTGTGTATGTTTTTGTTAATTTCTTCTCCAGTGCTGACTCCATTCACTGTTCCATTTTAACTACCTTCCTTCTATTGGTAGCAAGCAACAGCTAATCCATTCCCATACCAAACCCACTCCTGATGAAGTACTGGTTCCCACATAAGGCTCACCTATACCCAACTCTCAATAACTTAAGCCTTACAAAAATATTCTTGTCAGACAGGATTCTCAGAGCACTTTTCTCAGATGACCATGCTGGCAGAGCATAGTAGCTAAGACCAAGATACAAGTCAGATGTCCTGATACAAGCCTGTTTTCTATCATGAACTTAGTAAGTGGCTTAAGCAAGCCATTCTCAGCCTCAGCCTTCAATATGAAGGATGAGAATAATATAAAAGCCTGCCTCTCAAGGCTGCTATAAAGGTTATGCCAAAAACGTACACAAAATACTTTGAGCACCCAAATTCAATACAAATGAATTCTCAGCTAGTTCAACAAAAACCAAGAAAAAAGGGGAGGAGGAAACTCAACCCAAAATGTAGCTGTGATCTAAGAGGGTCAAGCTAACAAATAAATTGTTATAAAAATACAAATATTTATTATGGTGTACACATAAGATTAAAAGAAATAGTCCAAATATCCGACTCTTAAAGCTTTTTACATTCAGAGCTGATAGTTATACATGTCCAATTGATGGGTAAAACTTTTGACCAATAGACCATATGCGTTTCAGCCCCTTCGAGCCTTCCTCAGTGGTCAATATTCCTCTTGTACAATAACACACATCCAGAAATGTATGTATAAAATTTTTTCTATAGAGCCAGGTGTTGCTTTCTAAAATTGTCGAAAAAAAGAGAAAAAGGCCATATTATTATATATCAAATATATATACTAAATATACATAAT